GATCTCTTGACCTCGTGATCCACCCGCCTCGGCCTCCCACAGTGCTGGGATTACAGGCTTGAGCCACCGCGCCCGGCCTCGCAACTAGACTTTTTAGCTGGACACCTGTCTCCTCTACTGGTTTCCTTAGCGGAGGTTTCTATTCATGGTTGGATGTGTAGCTGCCATTAGGTCTTTTGACTCAAGAAGGGGAAACATATTTCATTTACCTTGGCTCTCATGGCCCTCTCGGCTTCTAGTTCTTCTTCCAGCTCTTCAATTCGGGCCTAGCAGACAGAGAAGGGAGAGGATTCATCTCTCATGCAAAGTTAGTAAGTTAGCCCCTTAGCCTTTTAGGATGGAAAATAGGGAAGTGAGAATATGACAGCTACTGTCGAAAGTGGAGAGAAGCAGATCCTAGCGAGCATGCACAAAGGCCCTGAGGCAGGCAGGAGGGGGCCTGGCATGTGTGACACCCGGCGAGGAGCCAGCATGGCTGGATAGAATGGAGGGAAACACTCAGTGGTGAGGTCAAGCGGGAAGCAGAGGTTGGAGGTTGGAGGGCCTCATGACCGTCATAGGGACTTTGGATTTCACCCTTAGCGAGGAGAACACGGGTCAATCTCCAAGTACTCCATGGCAGTCTTGCTCCTCAGGGACACTCAACTGTCCAGTAGCTGACATGAACAAAGCATTCAGAGTGGTGCATTTCCAATGGAGAGCTCAGGCTTCTCGCTCCTGGACATACCTGGTGCTCCTTCAGTTTCCGCTGCAGCGTGGAATTCAGAGACTGCTCATCCTCATATTTCGAGTTGACAGAGTTTATTTCCAAATCTCTCCTACAAGGGAAGGGATGGTCTCCTGAGGAAAGGCTCTGAGGGTAGACCAGTCAGCTGGTGAGGGATTGGCACCCAGGCTGCCAGAGGAGGCCTTGAACCTGCCAAAACGCATGCACCTCGCAGCCCTTCTGGTCTGTGGTGACAGCCCAGAAGGTCTCACCTACACAGCAGTTAGACCCCTGAATGAGCTCCTCAGACTTTTCATCACTCATTCATTCACACATTTACTAAGGTGGCACTTTTTTTTGAGACAGGGTCTTGCTCAGTTGCCCAGACTGCAGTGCAGTGGCATAATCATGGCTCACTGCAGCCGCAACCTCCTGGGCTTAAGTGATCCTCCCGCCTCAGCCTTTCCAGTAGCTGGGACCACAGGCTGGCTCCATCATGCCCAGTTAATTTTTGTATTTTTTGTAGAGATGGGGTCTTGCTGTGTTGCCTAGGCTGGTCTTGAGCTCCTGGCCTCAAGCCATCCTCCCACTTTGACCTCCTAAAGTGCTGGGATTACAGGTGTGAGCCACCATGCCCAACCCCAGGTCACAGGCTTTTATGATGCCTCCCTACCCTGCTGAGTCCTCTGTTCCCGGGGGTGGTGGCGCTCGTCTCCTCCCCAGTGCCCACTAGGTATTGTGTGATGCTGTGTATTCCCTGCAGACAGTGAAGCCCCTACCTCTCTGCATATCCTCCATGCCTGGTAGGTGCTTGGGACATGCACGAATGTATGTGAGGCCCTCCATACAGTGCCTGGCTCCTGGCACCCTTCAGGCAGCTCCAGCTATTGCTACCATTGTGACGGACAAAACAAACGATGACACAGACGTACTTTTTCACCACCTCCTCAAGATCCAGCTTGGAACGCTCCATCTCATTGAGGTTGTCGATGGTCATCTTCAGGTCACTCTCAGCTTTCCGACGAGCCTTTTCCACCTCTGCCCGGATTTTCTTTTCCTGCTCCCAGTTATCCTCCAGCTACGGAGACATGAACAGCAAGAGAAGGCAGAAGAGGAAAGTCTGAGGTCAGAAAGCAACAAGGAACCAGACTGGATCCGATCCTTTAGCTGTGGCCTCAGAAGGGCTGTAACATCCCAGGGGATGCATCGGTTCAGTTCCCAAAACTTATCTTCGGACCCTGTGCCTCCAGAGGGATCTGGCCTTGGAGTTGTAGAAACAGCGATGGCAATGGGTGTTACCTCATGGATCTGCGTGTTCAGCTTGCTGTTACTCTTGGTCAGGTGGTTCACCTTGTCCTCCTCAGCCTGCAGGTCGTCCAGGGTTTTCTGGAAGGAAAGATACACATGTGAGTGCCTCAAGGCCCAGTGGGAGCAGCTGAACAGGGCTGATTCTCAGTCGTCACTTCCAATCTATGCAGCTCCCAGGCTTTGGGGAGTTGACTTGACTTCAGTGAGTAGGTACTGAGCACCTGCTCCTGGTGCTGGATGAGGCCAGAGCAGATGGACCTGAGCCACCCATCAGGGAGGTTAACTGCTTGAGCCAGGGAGGTTAAGGCTTCAGTGAGCTCTGATCATAGCACTGCACTCCAGCCTGGGCGACAGAGTCAGACTGTCTCTGCAGAATAATATGAAAATCAACTAGGCATGGTGGCACACATCTGTAGTGCCAGCTGCTCAGGGGACTGAGGTAGGACGATCACGGACCCAGGAGGTTGGGGCTGCAGTGAGCTATGATGGCACCACTGCATTCCAGCCTGAACAACAGTGAGACCCTATCTCTGGTCCCCAGGGAAATGGTCCCCATGTGGAAAATAGGTGGGGTGCTTCTGGTTGTCACAGTGATTGGAGGTCCCTCTGACATTTAGTGGGTGACTCCAGCAATGCTGGACATCCCACCTTGCTCTGGACAATTTGGTACCATGAAGAAGAATTCTGTAGTCTACATTCCTGATGTCCCACCCAGGCACTCATGTGAGTAAAACAACCATTTCTACTCTTCTGAACTTAGAGCCCGGCACCCTTTTACATGTAATTTAATGTCCTTTTTCATTTAATATGCACTGCATTTTTTTTTTTTGAGACAGGATCTTACTCTGTCATTTAGATCAGAGTGCTTCGGTATGATCATAGCTAACTGCAGCCTCCACCTCTTGGGCTCAAGCAGCCCTCTCGCTTCAGCCTCCTGGCTAATTGTTTTTCCTATTTTTTGTAGAAACAGGGTCTTGCTGTGTTGCCCAGGCTGGTCTTGAACCCCTGGGCTCAAGCAGTGCTCCTGCCTCAGCCTCCCAAGTTCTGGGACTACAGGCACATGCCACCGCACCCGGCTTATTTTTAAATTTTTTGTAGAGACAGGGTCTTGCTATGTTTCCCAGGTTGGTCTAAAACTCGTAAGCTCAAGCGATCCTCCTGGCTCGGCAATCCTCCTGTAAATCCTCATGCTAAGGTTACAGGCATGAGCCATTGCACCTGGCCTGCACTACATTTTATTTTATTTTTATTTGTTTTTTTTTTTTTTTTTT